GGCTCTGGCGTCCTTTGTTCCTGGTGCTGCTGTCTGGGCACGCACTGTGGGATCTGGAGCCAAGTGCTGCCCCCATCCTTTACAATGTCCTGTACCACTCCAGTTCCCAGACATTGTGGAGTTCTGTGAGAAAATGGCCAACACTGGGAAAACCGTCATTGTTGCTGCTCTGGATGGCACCTTCCAGAGGAAGGTAAAACACCCATTTTGGTACCGCAGCTGCTTTGGGACCCTCGTGGAGCCCACCCAGCAGCACCTTCCATGCTGTCTCACAGGCCTTTGGGAGCATCCTGAACCTGGTGCCGCTGGCGGAGAGCGTGGTGAAGCTGAACGCTGTGTGCATGGAGTGCTTCCGAGAGGCCTCCTACACCAAGAGGCTGGGAGCAGAGCGGGAGGTGAGTGCCCTTGGAACAGAAACTGTTTCACTTTCAGTCCCGCTGGTACAGAGACTCCCTCCGGGAGCCGGGCTCGAGCTCTGCAGCCACTCGTGTTTCCCTGCCAGGTGGAAGTGATCGGAGGAGCTGACAAGTACCACTCGGTGTGCCGAGCCTGCTACTTCCGCGCGCGGCCCCAGCAGCCCGGGCCAGACAACAAGGAGAACGTGCCCCTGGGCCTGAGGCAGCTGGAGACCGCTGCCCCTCGCAACATCGTCACTTGACTGCTGCGACAACGGAGGGCGAGGGAGCTCAGGGCTGTGGCGCACAGGCCCCTCTATACTTTAACAAACTGTTCAGGGCCTCAGCCCTCCCCACCAAGCGTCACAACTGAGGATCCACCACACCTGATGCTGGTGGAAGCGGAAGCAAAAGCCTGGCTAGAGCGAGTTCCCATCTCAGAACAAGGAGAGAGACCAGCACAGTCACTGGTGCTGCCACACACAGGCCCTGTGGGCGCTGCCCGTGGGGCCAGGCTGCAGCACTGCTGCTCACTGTGCCTCTGGCCGGCTCTCACACGGCTCCAGGCGGGCTCAGGCTGGCACCGTGCTGCTTCTGCTGCCTGTGAGTGCAGCCCTTGTGCGCTGTTGCTACATTCGAGGTTTCTCAAGACATTGTACAGCCATTAGTATTTTTAATGCAATTTTTAGCTTCCTTCCTTAGCAGTCTGAGGTAACTTGTCTCTTGTCACAGGGCTGTGACAGCTTTTAAACTGACACACGCGTCAGCCCAGCCCTGGGCAGCCCCCAGGCTCTGCCAGCCTGCCCACTGGTGTCAGTTATTGCTGAAACAGAAGGAGGCCTGGCAGCTGACTCTCCTGAGGTGCTGAGCCTCGGGGCCTGGCTGTGTTCTAGCAGGCTGGGACAGACTCCTTTGGAGGAACTGGTCCCAGGAAGAGCCTCCTCCAAATTCAGGGCTGTTTTTCTCAGGTTCAAGGCTGGTGCTGCCATTTTGGTGCTCTGTTACCTCTCAGGGGTTTGGAGGCCCAGAGTTTCATCTACCAAGATTTGGACAATTATTCCAGGGAAGATCCAGCTGCTTTGTAAAGGGCCTCTCCTGAGGAGCTGCTTCTCCAGTCCAGTCATGTCTCTTGCTTTCTCCTCAGCCTTCCAAAATTCTTGAGGCTCTTAGTCTGCTCTAAGCTGACTGAAGGATCCTCTTCTCTCTTTGTTAGACTCAGATTCTGGAAGGTTGTTGTTTCCTTATTGTCTGCAAAAGCGTTTTTTCCCTGAAGTGTTTTTTCCCAGCACCCACAGGCTCTGAGCAGTAGCTCTTTGTTCTGGCCAGGCCAGACCTCTGCCTCTGTGAGTCCAGGGCTGCTGTTTGCCTGTGCCCCGCAAGGCTCCAAGAGCTGCCTGCTGCCCCCGTGCTTCAAGTGAGAATTACTCTGTTCACAAGCATTTGACTGCCAGGCTGGGCTTCTCCCCAGGGCTGGAGAAGGCCCTGCTGCTGCTTTAAGTTAATAAATAACTTAATTAATTTGTGTGTGTATTTTTTACCAGAGCATTCCACTAAGGCTTCCTGGCAGTGCCCAGTGAGACAGCAGGGGCTGGGGCTGGAGCATGACGAGGGTGGCCTAAAAATAGGCACCAGCATGAGTGTGCTGTTTGCAGCACAGCAGCTGCAGGGGCGCCCCGAGCCCTGCAGGGGCAGAAGGACTGCAGGAGCCTTTTCTGCTTCCCCTGGGAAACTGCATTTCTGCTTCCCCTTCCCTGGAAAGGCACAAGGTGGCTCACAGGGTGGCTTGGTGAAAAAGTTTATTCCAACCTACAGTGACAACTACTCAAACGCTGGCCCCAGCAGGGATGGCCCACACACACGGCTGCTGGGCACAGCTTTACCACAGCACAGCAGCAAACACAACCTGAGAAAGGCCCACGGGCTCCTGGTGCGGCTGGAGTGCAGGCAGGAGCCGCGGGCAGGCCGCAGGAGCTCGGGCTCGCAGCAGCGCTCGGGCAGGCACACCAGGGAAAGAAAGTGCTCCAGGATGTCCTCAGCCACGGCCCTGCTGAGGATCTCAGTGCTCACCGCTCCCACAGAGCCCAAGCCACATCATCCAAGCACCAGCAGCTCCAGTGCAGGCTGGGGAAGGCACAGCACGGCGTTAGAGAAGGGCAGAGGGGGCTTTGGCAAGAGCTGGCCCAGAAGCAGCCGCAGGGGAAGGCGGGGGAAGGCAGAGCTGGGCCTGGCTGTGCTGCAGCAGCGAGATGGCTCTGGGGGGATGCAGCCAGCAGGGCTGGAAGGCACTGCAGACAGGACNGAGCTCGCCAGGAGAAAGCTGGAGTTTGTGGCCAGGAAGTGCCAGGAGGAATTGGCCTCGGGACTGCATCGAGCGCCTCCAGGCACGGGGGGAGCCTGAGCATTGTGCCAGCTGCGGCACTTGGGCAGCCCAGAGCAAGGAGTGGGAGCGGCCCCTTTGTGCTCCAGATGTGTGCCCAACCATCTGAAACGTGACATCAGCCCTCACAGGCAGCCTGACAAACCAGTGTGAGCCCAGCCTAGGGGAGCCCGCAGCCCCTGAGGCAGTCAGTGCACAAAATAAACACCCTTTGGTGGTACTGTCGCTGTGCGGGGTGTTTTCTCTCTTTTCCTTGCTCTGCAGCAGGGACATCATCACAGCCAAGGTCCCCACGGAGGGACAGTTGCTCCTGAGGACATGGAACCGTCTCAGCCACAGGACCAGGGTTGCTGCACAGCAGTGCCAAGGTTTGTGTCTGGCCAGGACACTCCCAGAGCGTGAGCCCAGCCTGGCCCAGATGTCTGTGTCAGTCCTGTTCACAGAGGCCTATGTGATTCTGTCCCACAGCAGCAGGTGGGCTCCCCAGGCCCCACGTTCTGGGTCAGCCAGTCCCAGAGCTCTGCACTGGAAGAAGGGATTCTCTCAGCAGCAATTGCTTCGGGTGTGCACTCACTGCCTCCCTGGGAAGCACCACCCCAGGCAGCAGTAACTCCCATTTTATTTGTATTGCCAATGTGCGGTTTAAAGGACACTGAGGGAACAAAGTTCATGGTCCAGCTGCCCAGTCAGAGCCTTGCAGCCCTCAGTCCCCTCTGCTCCAGTGGGCAGGGGCACTGCAGGGAAGGGGCACCAGCCTGGGCTGGGCTGAGCAGAGAGGGCACAGTGTGGGTCTGAGACAGCCGTGGCTCTGTGTTAGACCAAGGGGGCAGAGGGCAGGGGATGCCAGGTGCCCACTGCCACCACACAGGGCCATGGTCCCCATCTCTCTGCTGCTGAGGTGCCATCATGCTCTTGAAATCATGTTCAGAATCACCTGGGGTGAGGAACCAAACCCTGTGAAAAGCCCCTGACCCTGCACCTCTCCTCAGGGAGGTGGCAGCCCACCTGATCCGCCCTGGCACAGCCCTCCTGCCCACCTGAGTGAGGACATAGCTGTCCTCTGACAGCCTCTCAATGACATCAAAGTGATCCACGCCAGCCAGGTCCAGCACAGAGACAGACCAGCCTGCTGCACGCAGGGCCTGCGGACAGAGCAGCGTGTAGGATGGACCCCAAGCTCCCCCTGCCCCGGACAAGCAGCAGGAATAATGTCCTGGCCAGGACCTCCAGTGAGCCAGAAACTGCTCTGGATCTGCACAGAAGCTGTTCCTCCCAGCTGGGTAAGTTGGTGAGGGCTGCCTGGAGCAGTGTCCCCACCAGAGCCGAGCAGGGTGCTGCTGCAGCTCACCTGGCTTCAGTCCTGGGACTGCCTGGTGCTCACCTGGCTGTACTGGGACTGCCTGCAGCTCACCTGGCCATGTTCCTGCAACCACCTGGTGCTCACCTGGCTGTACTCCTGGGACTGCCTGCGAAACTCTGGGGAGTCATGCTGGGCCACAGCCACGAGCACCTCACAGGCTGGTGGCACGGCTGGGGTGACGAGCCTCATGGGGCTGTTCCTCCGGGCCTCCTCCCTGCAGGAGCCACGCCGTGGAGCTGATGCAGCCCTTTGTGCCATCAGCTGGACTGCCCAGCTGGGCGGGCGCAGGGGCAGAGGGGCTGCAGAGCCACCGGCACCCCTGCCCGTGCTCTGTCCCACAGCCCGTGGGCTCACCGGCTCATGTTGAGAGCATCGTTCACGTAGGTGTGCAGGATGGGCTCCAGGTCATACAGGCCGCTCACCAGCACGGCTCCTGGGGCAGAGGAGGAGCTGCAGGTGAGGAGCTGCAGCGTGGGTGCTCCCACAGCCCCGGGACCTCATATTGAGCATAACCAGCCCCTCAGCCTTGTCCCAGGTGGGGAGACCTGTTCTCCTCCCGACCCTGTCCTGGGACGCAGCAACGCTACCTTTGATATCTGGCACCACTTGGAATTCCGTCCAGTCCGTGGACAGCACCATGGCCGCCAGGTGGGCCCCTGCCGAGTGTCCGCACAGGTAAATGCCCCTGGAAGGAGGGAGCGACTGAGNCTGCAGCCCCCAGCCCCAGGAGCCACTCCCTGACATGCCTGGGATGGAGCTGCTCCGGTGCCACGGCGCTGACAGGCCCTGGCAGGCTGTGCTGTGCTGTGCCAGGCACGGGCAGCCACCAGTGCCAGGCTTGGCACCAGGGCTGCCAGCTGAGGCAGCTGCCACCATTGAGGGCACAGGGTGTTATCAGCATGGATAGACAGTGCTTAGTGGTGTGGGCACAGGGCAGAGTCTCTACACAGCCCCAGCTCTGCATCAGGAACAACATTGCTCACAATGATCCTGCCCCCCTGCTCAGCCTGCTGAGGCTGCCGCTGGAGCGCTGTGTCCAGTTTGGGGCTCCTCAGGACAGGAGGGACATCAACTGCTGGAGCAGGCCCAGCAGAGGCTACGGACACAGTGAGGGGACTGAAACACCTCTCTAATGAGAACAGGCACGGGGCCTGTTCAGCCTTGAGGAGAAACAGCTGACAGGGCACCTCATCCTCTGTCAGCAGGGCGGTGTCGGGATGGCCCAGGCTCTGCCCCACGGTGCCCAGCAGCGGGACAAGCAGCAACAGGCAGAAACTGATGCACAGGAAGTTCCACCTGAACATGATCTCGATGCGCCCCCTCCAATATTCTGTGGTACTCTGTTAGAACTTCCCTGCGCCAGTGACAGCACTCTGGAGCAGATTGCCCAGAGAAGGTGTGGTGCCTTCCTCACTGGAGATAGTCCAGAACTGCCTGGATGCAATCCTGTGCCATGTCCTCTGGGATGACCCAGGGTGATCCCTTCCAGTGACCCATTCTGAAACTGCTGAGCCCAGGGGAGTGCTGGAGAGCAGCTGTGGGCTGGCACTTGCTGCAGCTTGTGAGACATCCCTACTGAAGCAGCCCCATCACTGGCCTTGCCCTAGCTCCTGACACCCAGCAGGTCACCCAGGCCTTCCCCAGGGTCACCCCACTGTTCCTGGGCTGGCATGAGGCTCACAGGGCCAGAGCTGCTGGCTGGAGCCCCCGTGCACTCACTTCTAAACCCGGGGCCCTTTGCCACCCCTGCCGTGCTTAGCTCAGCTCAGGTGCTGCTGCAGGAACCCCTCCTGTGCCTGGAGCTGCCAGCACAGTCTGGCCTCTGTGGCTTCTGCCTGTCCCTTCCCTGAAAGCCCGGGATTTCCCTCCAAGCACAAGGCAGGCACCAGCCTGGACAGTGTGGTGGGGGTTTTACTGTGAAGTCCCACGGGGATGCAGTCCATCAGCAGCCCAAGGCGC